GATATTCGTTAGACACTCGGGGGGGGGGGGGGGGTCGTTTATCCCGAGGCTCATACTTCTGTATATCTCACTGTACATTCTCATCGTTACCGCCGTAGTCTTTGAATGGATGATCCGTGTAGTTATTTTGATATCGCGGCAACTATATCGCCGTAACACGTAACGGGAACGAAATCGACTGGCAAGCGAGCAAGCTGACGAGCTAACAAAGCTGACGAACTAACGAAGCTGACGAGCTGCGACGACGAGCGAGCGAGCGAGCGAGCTCAGCAGTTCTCGAAAAGAATGCAGGTGCGCCCGTGAATCCTCCTTACCAAACGTTTCTTTCGATCTTCGTAGATACCTTAGGCGTAAGGCACTGGTTGATTTCACTCTTAGATATCGAATAGATTAAACAACCGCCTCCGCAATCAGCCCCCGGGGCCAACGCGCGTCGATGATGGTCTCGAGCCACGTACGGAGACGAGTGCCCGTTCGCGAGAACCTCGTCGTCGAGAGCAGTCGTCGAGAGTCGCGCTCTTCATAGTATGGAACAACACTTCGCAGCTGTCGACGACTCTCTCACTTTTAATCCTGTAATCACCGACCGGGGTTTCTCCGGAGCTTCTTAAATTCTGTCTCGCCAGAGTGAGCACTCTGAAGCGAACGATTTGATCAGCAGAGCTCACAAATAATATCGATGGACGGGAAAAACGGGGCCATCGAATTGAGACGGGTCTGCGATTCCTCGTAGGGTTCGCTTCGGGCACGAGCTTGTACGCGAAGCGAACGTTCCGAAACGCGAACTTGATTTCCTTCCGAACCCATTCTCGACTCCCAGACGACCTGAGGAAGCTTCGAGGCTCCCGAGTACGGTTTTCACTTTTGGACACGCGCCCCCCAACGTGGTCGACGACGCTCTCTGTCCTGGGATCGCGGGCTTTTGTTTCGTAGGAAGGCTCGACCGATGGAGAACGCTAAAACGAAGTCACTGACAAAGGGGTGGTACAGGGGATTACGAACCTATCCGGATGGTGTTAGTTAGTCACCAATTATTGTCATTCTTTCTCTCGTGTCGACATTAAGGACGTATGAAGAATACAAGAGGTAGCGCAAATCGACTATATACACGTACGACGTTTTAATATAAACGAAAAGACACATACACACACCTACACATACACACACTTACACACAGATATCGCATCGTCTCTTAAGCATGCCAAGAGAAGAGAGAAACGCCAGCTACGTTCGTCATTCAGTAATCTTGCGCTTTGTTTTTTCTATGAATCGGTGCATAACGGATCTTACTCCTTGTTAGGTCAAGTGAAATAAGGAAAAAAAAGCTGTAAGCTGTAAAGTATATATATACATATATATACACACACACACACATACACGTACATACATGCATATATACATGTGTATGTGTGTGTGTGTATATATATATATATATATATATAAAGGAAAATTAAAAGATCCCATAAAACACACACACAATGTTATTATAAACGATTAATTAATAAAAAAACGAATCTTGTTTGTTGTTACTTCTGGTATACCTCGTTATGAACTTTCTCGCCGATGTCGCGCCGATCTTCCTCGCGTGACTCGCCCGCTGTCCGACTCCTCTGAGTCGCGCTCACAAGATTTGTCTGCTGTAAATACCGTTGTAAGTGAACCTCCGTTATGCGAGCGATGCAAAACGCGTTAAGGCGAGTCGGTTGTTCTGGCAATGCGAATGACGATGTGAAAAGGAAATTTCGTGCATTTCTGGCGTTCTTTGGCATCCTTTTACGATACACTCGAGCATCATGCCTTTGAGCGATCTTTAACCCAGAAGGATGATGTCCCGTTTAACCTCTGATGTTACTGTTTAACCTCTTCAGGAACGAATTAAAGTCAGAAGATATTTTGAAGTTCAATATTCGAATCCGATATTCGTGTAAAGAAGAATAATTTATTATAATCAGAAAAAGAAACTGATTTAATTTTAAAGTGACAAACATAATATCAGTCAATCATATAAAAAGATTTCTTTGTTATAGAATTTTGTATGAATATTTTATATGAATATTTATTCATACAGCGATATTCATTATATCTCGGCAATGTTGAAATTAAGAAAAAAAGAATTGAACATATTTGAACGCATATGTGTTTGTCCTTGAAAAAGTGAATCGCTCGCGTTTGCTTTTGTCATCGCTGAATGCAAGCGAAATCTTCCTCTCGTTTTATCGCTCATCAGGACAATTCCGTCACGACCACCGAGCCACCTTAACGTCAACACGTTCGGTGGAACCTCGCGACTCCTCGCACCTTGATCGTAAGTCTGGGATGACGAAAGTGATCGATGGATAATCATTGATCGGCGAAAACCAGAATGCTCAATCTTTATTTCGTGTGAATATTATATAATGGGAAGAGTATTACAGTCGATTGATAATTGTCGATAGCTGTTGGCGTAATAACGGTCTAAAGGATATGATTTGGTCGACCAAACGACGATGACGATCTCTCTGTGGATGAGAGATAATCTAGGTGTCTTCCTCCCAAACAGTTTCCGTGAGTATGGCGATGTTGTCCAGGCCACGCATCGGCGCGTACTCGAGCGTCCACATCACGTTCGTGAAAACGACTGGCGATATTGCGAAAGAATTATTATAAACCGAGGAAACGGTCGATCCTGCCGATGTTACATCCGGAGAAACACACATTAATGAGAAAGAGAGCTCTGAGACAATTGTAACTCGGCTGGCAATCCTGCGAGAACCGCCAACGAAACGATTATTTTGCCTTCGCAAAACTAGACCCGAAGAATTTGTATAAAGATACTTTATTTCAGATTCAATTCTGTTTTGTTTCGTCAGGATATACAAGATTAAAATTACCCGATTGATGCATGTTGGATCGAATTGTTATCAACAGGGAGAACATTAGTCACGTGGCACGTACACTTCCGACGTAACACGATTAATTCGGAAATCCCACAATTTCTCTCGCGGCACAACGATTGACAATATTATTATATTAGCCGACAATACAATGAAGTTCCATCGAAGATAATTTTAGATTAAGATATCGAAAATTATATCTAATCTTCCTTTTCGAAGTGACCACGATAATTGGATTGATTAATATAACAAGCGAGTTTTTCATTGCAAATCCGATTCATTGGCCCAATCCTGTTCACCCGCAGTCACCGTGTAGTTTTAGTCAATAATATGGAGTACTCTTTAATAAACCATAGCAAGATAAATTAGTCAGCGATTCTCGAATCGACAAGCGAAATGTGTCAGTCTCGCGCGTAATATACTTTCATATTATAAATTATAATTTATAATTAATAATTTTGCGGAAAGATTCATCGTGAATTTTCACGCGAACGCTGACCGAATCCGATAATTAATTTAATCCCGATATTTTCAGTCGAAAATATCTTCTCTCCCTCCTTTCCCCTTCCTCTCTCTCTCCCTCTCTCTCTCACACACACACTCACCGTTTAATTGCGCATACTTACGCATTTCGCCCTGGTGCAAATCGGCGATCAGCTCCGGGCACGAGCTGTTGCAGGGGTTGATGGGGGTAAGTCGTAACTGAGTCGCACCACGAAGCTGAGCGAGCGCGATTAGACCGGAGTCGAGCTCGACTTTCTTGTAGCTCGGACTGTTGTAGTCCGAGGACATGAGCACCCAGTTAAAGTGTGCCGGCGAAACCGTGCTGGAGAGGAAGTACGGCCGTTGATAGAACTTCCTGAGGACCTTCACAGCGTTGATGTCACAATTTTGCCAGTGGACGAACCACTTGGCCACTTCGGGCGCGTGCACGCGTCGCAGGAACGCGGCGAGATCGGACGAACCAGTTCGTAAATTCGAGGTGAGCGCGCATGGTACTGTCTCCATCAGCCGTTCGTTCTCCAGGTAAAGCTGTTAATGCGTGGAAAAGGTCTTCTTCATCTCGATCATATGACTAGCAATGTGTTGGATCAGCTCTACGATCGCCTAGTTGAACTAAATTTTGGACTCGTTTTGTACGAATACGAGATTAAGAAAAATAAGAAGCAAACAAAAACGTCAAAATTTTGTTGAAAGAATTGGAATAATTAATTCGCCATATACAGCCTTTAAATTGAGTTCATTTAACTTGCTTTGAGTCCTTTCGGCCGACCTTGTTTTATAATATATTTGTTCAAAATTCGAGGAGCCTTGACAGCTACGACTCAGGCTCGACGAAGCTCGCGCGCTACCTACGTGGGTAATATTGTCGAACCAGAAGTAGTCGGTGTTCATAACCGTCCATGAGTCCATCGCATCGGTGATGATAGCCGGTGCGTCGCGACTCAGGTAGTTGTCGACCAAATTACGATAGCGCACGTCCGACAGACGATCGATCGTCTCCAACGCTTCGCAAGTCTGCAAAAGGATCCCTCGCCAATTATCTAGGCGCGAATCTTGGATCCGACAAATATATCAGGCATCCGTTGATGTAAGCTTTACCTCCAGATATCAGGTTGGCTCAAAAGCACCGGATTGCGTTCTCGATAAGCTCATAAGAATTTCTAATAATAATTTCGAATAATTTAAAGCCGACTTTTATAGCTTCATTTTTCTAATTTTTTTTCATGACTTTCGGAAGAAGCAGGCAATATGTTATCAAATAATTTATATCTAACTATATCAAAATATCAACTTAAAATTTTTCTTAAAAATTTCTACGAACTTATCAAACATCTCAATATTTTCCCATAGAATTTTTTATGACAATTTATGAGAAAAGATTTTCGAATCAGCCTGATATAATCTGCGTTTAAAATTTTCATCGTGACATAATTGCTCACTTTTCTGTTCTTTTCTAAACAACGATTAATCAGCTCGATTTTGGAGCTTTAATCTCGAAGATAAAACGTACCACGCAATCTTCTTCGGTGATGATATAGTCGTTGTAGAAAGGATTGTTGATCATACAGTTCTCGTAATAGAGCGGCTGCCAGTTCCAGATCGGCAACACTTTGATCAACAATAGACGGCTGATGGCGGTGAAATGAGTGCCGACGATATCTAGCTGCGCCGCCAGGCACACCAGTGTACCCAGCACTATCAGCACTAGAGTACCGCGAAAGACCAGCTGCAACCAAGAGCGACGCATCGCCGCTACCAGCGGCTGACAAATGATGTCCATCTCCTCCTCGGTGAAGCCAGCTTGCTGACAGTATCTACAAAAATATTTAACAGTCATGATGCATAATTAATACAAAAAGAAATTGAAAAGGAAAGGTCACCGTATCCATTACGAAAATAATCTTTTTCTGTAAAATAAAAAAAAAGTACTTTCTAAAGAAGAGAAAATAGAGTATAACAACCCAAGAACAATGTTTATATATAATCATATATAAAATTATATATAATTATGTGACTTACACATGAATATTTTGTCTTTATATGGCTACATATATAATTATGTATAATTATATTCACACAAAATAAAAATACTATTAAATGAAAAACAGAAAAAATAGTTTGATTTAATTAAGTGTTTATATCATGGGAAGTCATAAACATAAGCATTTGCTTCAGTTATATTCATGTAACATCGTTTTTTAGATGTATATATAATTATATATGATTATACATAATCACACAGAGACAAAATTCATATATAATCATTTTCCCGGGAATATCTTCGTGTGGATAGTTTTTTTCCGCAATTCCTCTCTGTTAACAAAATACTATGATAAATTGTAATAATAATTTCTTTATTAAAACAAAAAGTTTACTTTTAGAGAGGAATAAATAGGATGTAACATAATGTTCGTGAAAATCTTCTGAGGAATTTCTCTTTTTGTTAACAAAACAAATAAAATATGATAAACTATAATATTACGATAAATATATTGGAATAAAAGAACCGAAGAAAATACTTATATAATATGAAAATTAAAAACGCCGGTATGTAGTTTCATATATGACCTCATGCATGTCGCGAATCGTAGCGTTACTTGTAAAAGGAGTTCAACTCGTCGTCGATCAGTCTCAGCTTCTCGGAGTGCGACATTTCGTACTGTTCCTTCGTGTAGGCCTTACGCGGTTGTTTCACGCACTTGTTGCTCGACATCCTGTCGTATTCTCGTGATCCGTCAGGATATTCGTCAGGATACAGCGCTTAAATGCGTTTCGTTCGCGGTCGCAAAAATTTCGGGGCAGAATGCAGCGATCCCGTCGCTATCGAACCGAAACTGTACATGCGCACTCTCGCACTCGGCCCACACTACGTATATTGATCGACACCTTAGCACAGACGCGCGAAAACCGAGATTGCTTTTCGAAATTATTTAATCGAGTCTTTAATTCACTTCTCTCTTTCTCTCTCACTGCCGGGCGAAGCGTTTCACGCACGAGAAAATTCTTTTCGAAAGAACGACTATGTGATAACGACAAAATGCGATTTGCAATTTGATTACGGAGAAAATGAATGATTATAGATAAATATTTATTGCGGGGATTTGCTGAAATGAAAGATAGACTGAAAAATACGATGAGAAGTATATGTTAATTCGTAAAAATATTATTGAGATATTTTATTCTCTTTCTCTCAGATATCACTTGAACTCCGACGATTTCGATGAGCCAATGAACTTCTGTAATCGTTTAAATTAGTTTTTTTCTAGAATAATTCCTCTCCCGAAAATGAGGAAATCGATTTCACAGAATAAATACTCGTCAACTTGATCCGTAGAATGCTGGATTTCGTTATTTTCAATCAACGATATTAAAAAACCCCTATATAAGTTTATTATTTCCTAAAAAAAGTATTTTCCTGTAACTTTACTTAACTATCTAAGTAATAAACTAAGTAATAAATTAATTTTGAGCGAAATGATAGACAAATATAGAGAAAAAAATAAGACAAATATACAAATAATATTGCAAGCACGGAAATATTATTTATTTCTTATTTTTCTTATTAGTACTTTATTTACATGTCAGTTGAACTAATAAAAGTACACATGATAGAACATGATAGAACGTGGTATATAAATATTTAAAAATGTATATATGTACATAATTTCAAGCATTACATTGCCTAAAGATCTAAAGAGTAAGTAGAAAGTTCTTTAACACGTTTGCTCTTTGTGAATTATGGACAGAATATGTTTATACGTACAAATCTATAATGTTTATACGTACAAGTCTCTACTATGAGAATTTAAGTTTTAAGCCTTAAGATATTAACCAATCATAGTCGATTATTCTCCTCATATTCAACTGTGATTAGCAAATTTCTTAAGGCTTAAAGCTAAAAACATCTATTGTAGACCAGGACTCAAATGGAGTCAACAGTGAGAATTTAAAACGCAAGCTTTAAGCATCAACTAACATGAACTGTATACTTTCAGTATTGGCAGTTAGAGTTCTAGATAAATAGTGAAGCAACC